AAAAGCAGTGAAAAAAACTTGTTTTAAGGACCAAAGATTTTACTAAATAACAAAAATACTTTTTACAGCAATGTGCTGATGTATACCTGTCTATAAACAGGACCAACATACACAGCAAAACGGTCCTGAAATATGGCTGACAACCTGCCACCTGGCTGTCAGAAAATAAATGAACTATGTCAGCAATGCCAAGGGTAGATCCAGAGACTTCATAAATATTACTGCACTTGTCAGTATGAAAAAAAAAATCAACATAAAGCAGGCTGCTGTGTGAGAACAACAACGTATTCAAGATACAAGACATGCCTGCAACAAGTTTAATACAATGATGTGAACAGGTTAACATTTTCTCCTGAAACTTAATTTCCCACATTTACACCAAGTTTAATCTAAAGAAGGAAAAGGTTCATTCTAGCAAGTCTGTAGATGAAGTAGTTTTTCCTTTCTTTCGAAATGTTGTATATTTACCTAAAAACAATGTTTCCTGCTTTGTCAGCTTTCCATGCCTTGATCAGGGCAAAATCCCCAGTGATGGCTTTTTCCATAATGTAGTGCCTGCCATTAAACTCCCGCACCTGTGGATAAACAACACAGCAAATCCAAAAGAAAGAAATTCAGGCTCTATCATACAGTGCAACTCGAAATATAGCTCACATCTTAACACTATAATACCATAAAATAGGTTTAACAGAGTACTAGTCCTGACTACCCAGATATGCCGATTTGCTTTACTGACTCCATTGATTTATGTCCAAAAACAAAATATGTTTTCTGTGGAGACAAGGGTTTGCAGAAGCTACATATAGGGGGGTAATTATAGGATGAATTTTGAAGTGAACAATTGTGCAAAATTGTACACTTCAGTAGGTAAGTGAAATGCAATTATGTCATGAGAACTGATCAGTTAAGTTAATGTAACTATGGTACACAACTGTATTTCATGATCTTCACAAAATGGATATTTTCTGGATTTAAAGAATCCCAACAAGTAAGTGTTAAATGAATTCGAGGAAACTTGTTGGCTACAATAAAAAGCAGGATGTAGCGAGCGCTTGTCTCGCAAAGTGAGTGGTTGAGTTCCGTGAAGAAGACAAGGAAGCCAGAAACTCACCTGCCCCTGCAAAAAACTGTTTGCCCCATGATTTTTTTAGAAAATGGAATCTTGAATTTAAGTATGAAGCAACCAAAAGCCGAGGGAAGAGCAGCCTAACCTCTCGCTCCTCGCTAGCAATAGCAATGCTGCCATCTTTGTTGTACTTAATAGGAGAGCCTCCCTCTTGGATCAGAGTGCCGTAGCCGGTGGGAGTGAAGAAGGCTGGAACCCCAGCACCTCCTGCCCTGATCCTCTCTGCAAGAGTTCCCTGTGGTGAGGAAGAGACAAATTTATTGCAAGTACAACGAAGTGTGTAAACTGAGCCACGATCTGAATAATTTACATTTTGATAAACAAAAAAAAGGTGTTAATAAAGTTTAACTTACTGAAAACATTAACCTTTTGCTTGGTTATGTGTGTGTTGTATTTTAACATTTCTACACCAACCTGTGGCGTTAGCTCCACTTCCAGTTCTCCTGACAAATACTGTCTCTCAAACTCAGCGTTCTCTCCTACATAGGAGGAAATCATCCTTTTGATCTGCTTAGTCTGTAGCAAGAGGCCCAGGCCAAAGTTATCCACTCTAGGAAAAATAGAAAAAAAATTGTCATAAAAGAATTTAAAAAATCTTTAGGATATTTTTTGAATCCTTATGTATCCCTCACCTAAAGTAATTTGGATCAGTTTTGGGTCAAAAGGTTAAAAAGCCACAAAGATTACATTTTTATTGGCATAATTGGAAAAAAAATACCTCTACTTCTGCAAATTTAATAAATTATAAGCATTTTAATGCATTTACAAACACAGAATCAGCATACCTCCTAATTCACACATGGACAAAAAAACAAATAAAAAAAACACTCTTACCCTGCATTATTACTGACTGCAGTGATGCCCTTTACGCCAGTCTTCAGCAAACTGTTGATTAGATTCTCTGGAATCCCACACAACCCAAAGCCTGTGTTGGAAAATACCAGACAAATAATAATGACATGATATAAAACAGCTATAAAATACAAAATCACTGTGTGAAAGGTGGCGCAACTAGATAAAGTTGAACTTTCAACTTGTGTATCTGCAACATGTCAAATTTGTAGAGCAAATAGCCACATGACAATTACAAATCACAAACAAAACCCCAAAGTCCAAGGATCATGGATGACGCCATTGGAAATTAAACTTCTTTTAATGACACACTGATCAGATGATCATGACCATGAGTGTCACGTGTTTATGATAGCATAACAATCATAAACACACAATAAGCTTTAGAATTTTTTTTTTACCAAAACACTGAGAGGTTAATGTTTTATTATTGCCTTGCATGAGACTTCCCTCAAACAGGAATGTGGCGCAGTGGAAAATGTTCAACCAGGTCACTGTGAGCTTGACTATAAATAAGAGACATGGAATTTGTGCGTGCTCAATGTTTAAATTGTAATCAGCCAGCATGCTCAGGCTAACACCCCTTCATAATAAAGTTGCCACTGCCCAGATACTTTCTGTGTTGAACGTGCAATAAGCTCTATGCGGCTGAAGCCATTCTGATGATGTAGAAAATGCTAAATATTACCTCCAACCAGAATAGTAGCACCATTAGGAATATCCTTCACTGCCTCTGTTGGATCTGAGTAGAACTGCGAACTTCTCGGGCTGGATGTGGAAAAATAGCAACCACAAGTCTGCAGAAAGAACAAGAGGGAATAAGTTAGGTACATGGACTGACATGTAGTAGAGCTGCACATTATGTTGAACCAATATAATACAAATATTAAAATAGCTCAAAAATTAAAATCAAAAAAGGAACTTGTACATATAAATTCTTCAAAATATTTATTGCTGTTCATTTTGAAGGTTAAACCTTCTCCTATACTTTCACACATAATGGTTGATAGTTGTTTGTTTCTGACTAATAAGACAACCCAACAAATCCTAACCATGGTAAACCGGGTACTCAACAATCTCAGACATTTGATTATTTAGAAGATCTAGCCTGAAGGTTGAAAAACAGTGTCGTCATTTAATTTTGTTCCACATATAAATAACTGACCTATGCAGCGACCAATAGCATCCCTGTGTTTTCAGGGTCTCAAATGCAGGTTGTTCAGTTTGTGCAGTAGCAGAAAAATAACATGCATTTTAAATACATGCATTCTTTAAAAAAAAATAAAAGTTTTGTATTTGTTTTTGGTATGTATTTTATAGGTTTTAGTTTACCTGACGATGAAAAACGAAAAGTAAATTGCTTGTGCATATTTGATATCTATGAAATTAACAATTTACTGTCCGCTATAGATATGAACAAAAGCCCACACCCGAGTAAGACTGGGCCATTTATTAAAACTGTGGGAAGGGTCTTAGCTGGGCGCCAACATTTATCAAGTGTTCTCAGCAATAGCAGACTTTCAGTTGCACTTCCAAGGTAAGTGCTTTGGGTATCGAGAGGCTAATGTGGTCTCGAGTTTTGCAGCCAACAAAACAGAAACTCCTTCACGATAGTTAAGGCAAGTCAACCACTACAACTGTTACTCCCACTGCGGCACATTTGAGTTCAAAAACAGACCTTTAGGAGGCGGTGGCTAGCGAAGTGTACTCTGGCTCTTCGGTGACCTGCGAGGTTTTTGAAGATTAAACCCTCGGCTCTGCAAAACGTTGTAAGGGTCGCCATCTTTTTTTTTTTGGATGTACACAAGAGGGTTAAATTAGTTATGCAGCAGGCTGAAAGACAGCTGAATGTCGCTAGGTGGCCTCCCCTAATAGCTCGACGACATGTGTCGCCGTTCCTAAACACTCTTCACAAAGGGGATGTTTTCAAAGGCACGACCTGCTCGTTTAGCTTTAACCCTTTCGCCGCCGCTTTGCTACGGTTTCATGCAGGGTTAAAAACAACACAACATTCATTTGGCTTCGACGTGATTTCGTAAGGCCACGTGACGAGACGCAAGCCAAAAAATTATTTTGTTCTTCTCAACTTTGTTTAGAGAAGCACCTTTACGATCAGGAGAATAACGCACGTTAAAAAGGTTAAGAAAGCCCAGACCTAGAGAGAATAGAACTTGCATGAGCTTGCGCAGCCTTGCCACCATATTGTGAGTGGCATTTTGTAGAAACGATCTAGATACCCTGTTTAGGAGAAACCCGAATTTTTCGCTTTTATCTGCGATCTTGTTCTTTTGGTCACCCAGAGGTTGAGACCATAGATGATGGTATAGAAACTGACATTGACCAGTGAATTGAGAGCGTTTCCTTTTAACTCAGCTCTCTCTACAATCGATACAACATCACTCCAGATGCCACACCAGTCTTAAATTTGGAGATGCTGATTTTCATCCTAAAAGTGTTCCAGTGCAAACCAGAGATCATTTTCTGGTGAAGCCAATATGATCCACAAAAAGCAGAGACTCAACCCTAAAATGTTTCACTAAAGTTGATCTCTTTAATAATTTGAAATTCTTTCGACAAAGGTTATGAACAGAATTGATGACCAAGAATAACCTTGTCAGAAAGACAGAAACTGAATTTGGAGTTCATAAGTTATATTCATAAAAATTTCAAGAAAACAAGGCTTGACGTATTTCACTCCTTGAGCAACAAATCAACATGAAATGAGTGACTATTTTTTTATACAATATTCTGTTCTTCCGAGATATACGTACCTTTAAGTTATTTATGGATGGAGCACTGCTATAATCTGGTGATTTATAGCTTATAAGAATTTCGACTCTATCTTCTTTTGTCCTGGTTCTCACAGTGAGAAGAACAAGGTAGCCAGGCACCTTTAAATTCCTCTAAATTCACATTTAATTTGCCTCTCTCAATATGGCGCACCCGCTAACTTGAGATGCCTGTTGACGTTTGGTTCTCACTGGCCAACTCAGCCAAAGTAGCGTCTACTCGTTCTACGTCTACCTCAGTAACCACCTGCTCACGTGACGTATACTTTGCGTAGTCATGGCAGACGACTACAGGCGACACGATTTTGAGTTGGAGAGGAGAATATTTGAGATAGACAACAAATGTTCATGTCTCCGGGCTGAAAAGCAAGGTATTGGTTACCCACAGCGCGCTTTATTTTTTTGTTTTGTGACTCTCTTGAATATTTTCTTTTCAGAAGAGAAACATTTTTTTTCTCCCTGGGTTGTTTAGCTGAGAAGCTAGCTAACGAACGTTAGCTGGCAGCCATAGCAACAACTGATGTCTAAAACTTTGCGGTTTGACAACTCGTTTACTTTAACTTTTAACCGACCGGTAGCTCAGCAGCTTCATAATGACGTTTATTGTCCAAGTTGTGGTTTGTTTTGTTCTTGTTTACACACACAAATATATATATATAGTGAATGACGAACAGTAAAGCATTAGCTTAAATACAGTTGAGGAATGTTATTTAAGAAACTGACGCAAAACCAGATCTAAAAATAAACAGTTGGAATTATTATTTTGCCGTAGAATTGCGCTCCATTGCGATATAACTGCAAACCACAGAGCAACGTACGATCATTAGTCTGACCACAACGTGACCCCCCGAAAGCTAACTGCGCTTTCAATGCTAAGAACACCTTTTAGGAGTTGTTTCTAATTTTCATGCACTTTTAATGTTACGCCTGTGGTGTGGATATTAACGTATCTTTTTTCTGTTTTAATAGATGATGACTATTTGCAGAATGCATCTGCAATACTAGAGAAGTTGAAAAGCTTTTACAGACACGGAGGAGAAAGCTTGAACTTTTCCAAGCTGCTTCAGGATTACACACAGGTTTTTCTTCACTCAACAATCCATCATTCTGCCACTAAAGAGTTTCTTGTAAAAACAAAATATGTATCAGATTGCTTGATATCTCCAAATGGGAATCCTGACAGTATTTATGACATTCAGCCAGCATGTTCTTTGCTGTTTGTTTTATGAGATCCATTTCGCAAGGTGACACACTTATTAACTTTGTTGCATCCCTCGAGTGGAAGTGGGTTTTTCTTATATTTGTCACCCACAAAAATGAATATTAGGTTTGTTGGATGCTCTAAATTGCTATTAGGTGTGATAGAATGGTTATTTGTCCAGAGTGTATCCTCCTCTCACTCATTTACTGCTGGAAATCTGCATCAGCTTCCCCATAACCCAGCATGCATAATTGTTCTGGTTTCTATTAGTATAAGTAAATATGTCTGGAGTTTTCCTTAAATGAATGAATGCATAATCCATTATTAACATTTGGGTAAATTGCATTAGTTCAAAGAGACTGATCTGTGTGTTGTAGAAGGAGTTCAGACTTTAAGCCTGATTTCTGAGTTAAAACTTTGTTTGCCTACATTTAGCCACTGCAGATACTTTTCAATATGTCCCTCTGTGTGTTGTATTAAACTAAGCAGCCTAAATGCATGAAGTTGATTGTATTCACGTTCAGACATAAAAAGGTTTAGCTGCAGACACTCTTGTTTATGCCTACCTGGTGTAAAAGGGGATTTAAAGTGAATAGCCATGATTAGTTTTGTTTTGTTTACCATGATTAGAAGCTTTTACCAGGAAGCAAATTCCCTTGGATTACAGTCTGAACAAACTCTCCTAATTTAGCTCAAAATTCACATTTAGATGAGACAAAATAAGAAGTCAAAAAGGGGCTTAGTTAAAGCAAATGACAAGTCCCAAAATTAAAAGCACTCTCAAGTAAAGACTTCAGTAATTGTGCCATCTGTATGCTACTGTAGGACATATTAAATTTTTGTAGTAGTATTTGAACTTTAATTTCTTTGTTTTATGTATTATTTGTGTTTGGGTTTTTTTCCTGTCTAGGTGATTCTCGACATCACTTTTTATGAAGAGAATCAATTGGTAGATCAGGAATTTCCCGAAGACTCCTCACCATTTAAGATCCAGCAACTGCTGCAAGACCTGACTGAGCCAGAGGTGTTGGTGGCACGGCTGGCACCAGGACAGGAGGTGTGCAGTATGAACAGTTTTATTTCAGAGTCTGTTATTCAAATATTCTCTTAGAGATTTCAGTTTGAAAAATAGGCACACTAAAGAAAAAGATGAACCTCTCCCCTCCTCCTTAAGAGCCAGCATATCCAGCAGGGTTTTCTGTTGTCTCTCAGTTATCAGTTAACTGATAAAAAATCTTTCCACACATGGGTGTGTGTCAGGTGTGTGATTTGTTTACATAGTGGTCTGTCATCACGAAACTGTATTGTTGCTTTGTTTTGGTGTTTAACAGGTGCAGTGCGTGTTGGGCACAGAGCTGTTGGAATGTCTCTACTGGAGACGTGGAGCTCTGCTGTACATGTACTGCCACACCCTTCATCAGCGAAAGCAATGGATCAAGAAGAACAAGGATACATTCATTAAGGTACCACACTGTAAATATACTTTGCTTTGGAGAAGTATTCAAACTGTGAGCTGACCTAACACCCCCTCCCCTACAATAAAATACAACATGTTGATATTTCTTGCTGTAATATGATTAGATGACAAAAGTTCAAGCAGTATGAATTCAAGGAACTACAGTTGAAACATTTGCGAAATGTCATGTCTCATAAATTTTGACCTTGTTGGCTGGGAAAAGTGTCTAAAGTTTCTAACATTTTTTTTACATACATGCACGTTGTGTTCCAGTGTATTCAAGAAGGTGTTCGGTATTTGATGCGGATGCTGCAAGTTAGAAACACGGTGAAGCTCAGTGATGGGGTGGTGCTTCATGACAGTGGATCAAGCATTTTATCTGAGGGTAAATATGTTCATCTCTGAACAGTAAAACACTGTTCTGCCTTCTTTTTTGTTATGCCTGTTGTCTGCTTCTGTGTTTTGACAGGTATTTTTTCAGACACCCACCTGCTGACAATGATGTATATTGGGGAAATGTGTTTCTGGGCCGTCAAGTATGAGGACTGCAGCGCTGACCCTACAGACCACAAAGAAGATGGCCTCCAGTTTCGGGACATCGGTACACAGATTCTGAACAAATATGTGAATGCCTGCGAGGGACCTCTGCAGGGCCAGGGCTGGAATACAGAAAATGCCAAGGAAATCCTTAGTATTTTACAGTGAAATAAATTGCTCTTGTGTAAAAGTTACCATCAGGCGCAGATCTGAGTTCAGTATTCAAATGTGTCAAACCCAAATAAATATGGAACTCCATAAAAGAGGTGCGGTGTTGTAGAAGGTAAAAAAGCAGGACACCCAGTATGTGTATGTGATGAAAAGGTGTCTTTGGGTCATCCTAGTCCAAAAGAACTCGTGCAGAGCATGTGAGAGTTTAGTACGTTGGAGGAAAACAAAGATGAAAAGACAGGAAGCTTAATTGTTGTTTTTATTTTTCTGCTGATTGCGCAGATCTGATCTTGAATAGTGCTTGGAGCAGTTGTTTGCTCTAAAGATGTTATAATAACTTTATTATTAATATTCAGAGGGTGTTATTTAAATAAAATGGCCGTCTCTACTTTTTACAATTGTTTCAGATTTGAAAATAATCCAGCTGGATGTGTGACATTGCACATAACATCTTATTTATTGTTTTGTTGCCATTTTTAATGTGTTTCAGATGTAACAGAGTTGTGGGTAACGTGTGTATAAAATATACACACTGTAAGTAAAGCAAGATGTTTCAGAAATTTTGACCAATTTTAAGTATGTTAAAGTGTGTAGATGCCATTTTTCTAATGTGTTGCCTGTTTTCCCATGTACCATAAAACTCATTTCCTTCCACTCCACCTGGATAACGTTGGCAGTGTAACCATTAATACAGAGCTTGTTATTTGAAGAAAAAAAAAAAGTTTTTTTTATGTCCTTGCTGACAATAAAGATATGATTTGTTTTCAGAAAATGGTTTTCTAATATGTTGTACTTATTTGGTTATGAATCCGTTTCAGTCCATGCAAAACTACACCACCCACAATGCTCTAGGACTGCCACTAAGGAGGAAGTAAAAGAAGGAAACGTCACATTTGTTGTCGTTTGGCCGTTTCACTGGGATGGAAGTTCTTACTAGTTTGTCAGTGAGTTTTAACGTGTGAAGCCATGGCTGAGAGAGACGGGCACCTGAAGTCCGTGGTGATTCGCAGCTTCAGGCGGTTCAGTGAGCGATATTTTCCAGAGAAACCTGCCAGAAGCTCGACGTTAGATGAGGAGCAAGAAGAAGAGGCGTCGCACTGGGGATATTTGGATAGCTTTCCTGTAAGGCAATTTGTTCGAAACAATTGTAGTCATAGTGTGCTCAACTTCTATGGTGTAGAGTTGAAAATGAGAAAAAAAATTCATTTAAATATTTTTCCCTCACCTGTTGGGGCTTATTTTTTAAAGACTTTATTTTTATTTATTTTTTTTAGAAATGCTTGTCTTTCTAATAGCATTTACATTCTAAAAAAAATGTACAGTTTTTTTTTTACTAATTAATATTTCATTTAAATCCTTGTGGTCTGTTAATCAGAAGGTTTTTGAGATTTAAAAAAAATCAGACATTTACACTTGACATTGATCTTATGATCTTCAGTCTAATCATGGCGTATTGCCCTCACTAAAAAACAGTCTGACTAGTTTCACCATTTGCATTGAAACATTTTGACACTAAAGCTTAAAAAATTAACATCTTGCTGATTCTATTCCATCAAAACAAGGCGATTGCTGTTTTTGCAACTTAAATGCTGATTAACTGTTGGAAAAGCTCACTCTGTTTTGGGGGGCTATCATCCTGCAGGAGAAGCTTGTTTCAAGCACTTGATCATGATCTTGTTCTTTTGACGCTGAACAGTCTGGTCACTTTAAAATACATTTCCCTATCTCCTTTTTTAACAGCAGACCAGTATTCAGAATTTAGCTAATGTATAAATTAAACTTATCCCTCTTTTCAAAAGGCCGACGTGCAATTCCTCATCATGACCTTTCTCTCTCCTGTGGATATCTGCAACCTGGGAGCCACTTGTCGATACTGGAGGGCCATGGTGAGAGATCCGTTACTGTGGAAATACTTCCTGTTGCGGGACATGCCGCATTGGTCATCCATCGATCATCTGACAATGCCAGATCTGGAGTTGCTGGATGCACCGCTAGTCAGTGAACTTGAAAGTTTGGATGACAGAAAAGAAGATGAAGAGAAAAATAGGGAACTGAAATGTGACTACATGTCAGAGTAGGTATAGTCTCAATGTGTTTTTTAGAAAACAATTTGTAAAAGTTTCCTCCATATGTTTCTTTATAATTATTGTTTTGTTTTACCAGATACCTGAAAGGTTGTCCATCCTGCAGACAGCAGTGGTTGCCCTCCCGACCAGCACATCAACTTCTGACCTTACTCCTTCAGTACCTGGTGCCCTCATCTGAACCTCGCTATGCAATGTTTGGGCCTGGTATGGAACAGCTAGACGTCTCATTGGTCACAAGACTGATGCATGCCCCTGATCTGTTACCTGTGGCAGGTACTCCACACAGGCAGATAAACGGTAAGGCAGTGCTAAGTTTTCCGTTTTGTTATTGCTATTTTTGTTAATAGTTCTGTTTCTGCAAAAATAATCAAAACACAATTGTCATATTATTATTGCATCCTGAATCCAAGACATATGCAATGCCATCTAAAAACCTTTACAAAAAAAAAAAAAACGTAGACAGTATGCCACTTAATTTTTTGTTCTATTTTACCACATTACAACCCCAACTTTAATGTATTTTCCTGGGTTTCCCAGCAGTAGAGAGACTGCTTCTTTACTAGTTCATTCTACAAATCTCAGTCAGATTGAATGAAGAGCACCTATGAACATCAATTGCAACAGTTCAACCCTCCATGGCATGTAGAGACTTTTGACACGTTAAGAATGTTTTTTTTTCAGCAAGGGCTTTATTTCTTCCAATTCCTCCTTGAATATCAGATTCATACAAGATGTAATAGCTGGCCTGTCAGCAGGACCTGTGACCTGTGATTTCTGAACCTCCTCCAGAGTTACTCTATGGCCTCTGAGTTTCTTCTTAGATTAATCCTCTCCCTGCTCGGTTTATGGGGCTGATGAACAGCAATGTATAGGCTTGCAGAAGGGCTACACTATTCCCCATTAGTTTACTATTGTTCTCCAATTAACATCTGAGGCCTCGATAGAGTAGTTGGGATTTGACCGTGATACATTTTTTAAGACTTTGATTCCCTTTTCTTTATAAATATAAAATCGCAATAATATTTATTATGTAGAGTTTCAGGTTGAAATATGAAACAGTATGAAAGAATTGCATACATTGAATGCATAATCTGTCCATCTTTCTTGTAGTTTTATGGCCTACCACATGATGGCAGTATTTACATTCTTTACTAGTTATTGTCAGACAGGTTACTAAAATAGTAAACCAAACTAAATCCAGACACCGTTTTTATTCTAGGTATTGGCTCTGGGATCAGCTACTTGTTCAATAATCAACACAAATTTAACATCCTAACACTATATTCCACAAACAGGTAAGATCTTTATTCAAGATGTCACAGAGTTGCAGTTATTCACAAGTCTTTTTTGTTTAAATCTCTGTGAGCACACAGAGATTTACACTACAGCTGTGGTAACTTTGTTTTCTGTCTGCAGAGCTGAGAGAGAAAAAGCCCGACTGCAGCAGCAGAGCATCAGCAATAAGCTCTTTACCTTTGAAGGAACTGATGATGCAGGTTGTCCAGTGTATACGCCTGCTCCCCAGGTGCAGAAGGTGTGCCTGGAGGTGGATGGCTTCATTTATGTTGCCAATGCAGAACCTGGAAAAGGTGAGGAAAAATGTTCATTTTATTTTGTATTTTTTGCAGCCATTGGTAATCTTTGACTTTTAAATAACTGCATGAAAACGTTTATTTCTCAGGTGATGGGGTCACTGAGGCAGCCCAGATTAGAGCTGTGCTGAATTTTGTTGGGGATTCCACAGCTAAGCCACTACTGGTGCTCTCCTGCGTCTCACGAGAACCAGAGGAAGCAAGTGAAGAAGCCAAATGTCGGACACCCTGCGTTTATGTGGCAAAGAGTCTTGGCCTTCCTCAGTTGTCTAATCGCTGGATGGTAACTATATCATATATAATTAATCCCAAACTTTCTACTTCATCATGTAGATAATTTTCAAAAAGTGTTTCTTTTTCCCTTTCAGGTACAGGATACAGTGGCAGAATCATTAACAGGGGTTTTGGATGGGATTGCCTGGCTGCTGAAATCTTCTGGTGTCAAAATGTAGGGATATATATTGGTGTGTCCCAATACCGTCAAGGAGAATTTGACTGCAGACCACCCTGCCTCCTAATTTTGATGTCAGTGTCCACTACTTTATTATTTTCACTTTGTAAACGTAGCTGTCTGATCTGCCAAAGTCTTACTTGAGGAGCACTGCCAGTGGAGTTTAATTAAAAGGTTGAGCAGCAAAGAGGAAAATTGGGACTCATGTGGAGGAGCTAGCAAGGATATCTTTTTTTAAATGGTGCAAGTGAAGGAATTCCAGTCGGGCAGTAAAGCATAGAAACCGAACAAACTGATTTATTTAACACTAACTGCAAGAAAACAAAATGCTGAAGCTGCATTGAGATTCTTTGCAAATCAGGGAAGGTAGACCTGTTGTAAAAGCATAACGTTTCACCTTGAGAAAAATTTGGTGATACTTTTTTTACTTGTTTGGATATTTTAGATTTCCAAGCAGGTGTATACACCTGCTCCTCAGGTGCAGAAGATAAATGTTGTATCTTTTCTTGATACATTTAATTTCATAATTATGAATGTTTACTAGAAACTGTCCTGTGAAAGTGTCTTCAGAAAAATGTTAGGAAAAAATTAAGTCTTCAAATAAAATGTTTATACATAGGTAAATTAAAACAAGAAATCTATTTAAAAACCAAATGAAACATTTGGACATTTGATGAGCATTGGATACTTGAAATATTTTGTAAGATGCTTTTGTTGAATACACATGTTTTTATTTCTTAAGAGCAGGAACAAATGATCCTTTTTATTCAGTTCATACTCTTGTCAATTTATTTAATATGCAGTGACTTTTAAAAATAAATTTTGCCCCATTCACATCCCTAGACCTTCTGTTTGATTATTTTACGTGTTACACCGCTCCCCACTCCAGATTA